CTAAAGAGAAGGAAAATACAAAAAAAAGAATTTAGGATTATGAAGAGAAGTGGTGGGAGGTTATGATGTTGGCCAAGTTAGGAATCGAAAATCTGATTTTTGTTATAAAAAACAAGTGTGGGCTCCATTTGGACTCGCATCGGAGATTTAGTTTTGCTTTCTCGTAATAAGCAGTTGACTTACAGAGTTCAACTATCGTGAACACTTGTCTCCTGGCCATGTGTCAGTGTCAGAGAAGTACATACGTATACTACTTGAACAATCGACGAGGAGACAATAGTCGTAAAATGGCAATAAATAAGATAAATTGTGCACTCATAACAACAGCAAAAACTTCATTTTTGCTGTTGTTATGAGTGCACAATTTATCTGATTTATTGCCATTTTATGTATACTACTTGTCGTAAGGTAAAGACAAAGTAGTAAAGTTGCGGAGAAGACGGTAAATAGATTATAAACCTCACAATTGGTCTATACAGGGTGTATGTAGACGGTGTAGACGACCGACGTCTCTAATCGGCCTATAATCTATACATAGCCCGATCTGCTTCCGCTCTATACTAAGGCATACTGGTTGATGGACATCTGTCTTTCTCAAACCAAGTGGATGCAGTATGCGTAAATGTCAACAGGAAGGTCGGAGCATTTGTCATGCAAAGCAGATAAGCAGTATTTTTTTCGATGATTCAGTCCACATTAGAGTTTGGCACCCACTTCATGTATTCCTTGCTTATCACAGACCCTATAAAACAAGTTATTCCCGTAGCTATGCAGAAGACGTTACTTCAGTAACGTCTGGCGCTAGCCAGGGTCCACACAGCTTTAATTTGGTATTTGTGTGTTTGTGTGTTTGTTTGTTTGTGTCACGCCTGGCGCTATCCCGTATCTGTCCCGTACTGTACCGTACCAGCAAAGACAGCTGGCCACAATATTTTTGTTTGTTTGTGCCATCGACATGCCTGGCGCTATCCCGTACCTGTCCCGTACCATCAAGAGTACGGTACCAACAAGAGAATGAGTATATATGCGAAGTGTATCGGGGGAATGCATTCAGTGCAGTAACATTTTGTGTGGATTTGTGTGCGAGGCCGAGATCCCACTAGCAGGCTGGCTGGGCCGCCTGTCGACCAGCCCGGGAATCGCATGTAGGCGGATAGCATAATAATTATAACGTTTATACAGTCATGTAGATGTATAGCAGGGAGTCATATTATGTAAACGACCCCCTGCTGTATGGGGAGATTTTCTGGAAGAACTACGAAGTAGGGAGACGAGTAAATGCAATCAGAATGGATGTTAGTTGCCCACAGTATAATAGTAAGAAGAAGATAAACTCCCGTGATCGGCAGAGTCAGCGCCGGTCCCAGGAAACGTCAGGACAGACATACCGTCGACTCCAGAACGCCCGTGATCGGCAGAGTCAGCGCCGGTCCCATAGCTATGCAGAAGACGTTACTTCAGTATCTCATTGAAACGTTTTTGCAATACAATGATGTAGCTAATCAAAGGAAAAAAAGCATTTCCATCAGTTCTAACAACATGCACGAGGAGCTAGGCAACAAAACATAGCGCAGGGCCCTGAGCTTCCAAGCTCTCTCGTTGTAAAATAGCAATAAAGAAAACAAATTATAAAGTCATCGCCACACAACAACGAAGTCATGAAAGTCCTTCCACGGACTAGGCTAAAAAAATGGCCAAGGTTGTCAAGCAAATCTGACTGTCGGCGCAGTAAAGATAAAGGACAAACAGCATCGAGAGCTGGAGTAATGCGGAAACTCCGGGCGATCCCGTGCCTAACCGAGGGAGTTTGAAATGCGTGTCGTCTCGGTTGGCGAACGAGCTGCCTCTTCTATATCCTCGCCCCGCCACACATCAAACAGACTAGTCAAGTGGTTTTTCTCTAGAGCTAGAGAGAGAGCTTTTTATTACTACACTTCAAGATCCGACGGGAGAACTCATAACTAACACTGACAACAAACGACTGACATGGCACACGTGGTAGATTTTGTGTCACGTGTTTGTTTCGTCTTGGTCGCTGTGCACACGCGTCATTGGTTGGTGGTGTTGTGCGCATGCGCGAGACTGTGTGAGCTGGTCTTTGGTCTGTCGTCTTGTCAAAATATAATCGTTTTCCTTGGTCCTGTTCTAAGAATAAAAAGAGTGTAAAAAGGCAGTCCAGTGGTGGCGGTTGAGCTGATGCAGTGATGGAGAAGTAATGTTGCACTTACAACATAATGTTACCTTTACATCATGCGTGTTCTGCATGTACACGTGATGCGCTATGGCAAGTACATTAAAAGTCTGTTGGTGGGTGGATAACTTCACTTACCGTGCCATGCACGGAAATTTATTTTTTCTAAACATCCTAGGTGAAAACGTCTAATCAGTGCACCGTTATACCAAGAGTCCATAACCCAAGAGTATGTAACTGTGATCTCTTTTCTATGGGCCAACCGCGCGGCGCGCTGCCTTCATTACATCATTCAGCTGCAGTCCGCGCACTGCGGAAAATCAAACACCGCACTTTCCCTCTAGTTTGAAATGAACTTTCGTACGGAACTGGAGTTCACGCGCCAGAATTCAGAGATTGTGTAGGTACTGGAACGCATCGAGCAAAAACGGATGGGCTCGTGCGAGAAATTGAGAGTTTGAATGCATGCTTACAGAGCGTGATGAAGGCAAGTTACGTAATGAAGGCAGTGCGCCACGCATGCACCCATAATCACAGTTGCATACTCTTGGGTTATGGACTCTTGGTAATACCTGTGTACAGAAAGCCTACATTCATCGGCCAGTACATAATGTTAGACTTTTATAGTTTGTTGTGAAAAGAAGAAGGACAAAATGTTATGAGTTATGACAAACTTGGAACCAACGTAACCAGATCTTATACAGTCAGCGAGTGCGACAAAATGGCACAAAACTGACAAGGAGTACTGAGACATTCGGCGACCTGACACCTAGCTCCAATACTTCTCCAAGGCACAAACCAACAACCTTCCAACTTGGAAGGCTCAGGTTCGGAAAGGTCCAAGAGGGGAAGGAAAGCGCAACAAAGAAGAGCACGAGCTACGCATCACGGCAACAAAGAATGCCGAAAGTTACTGGATGATGACGAAACTAGTAAGACTATTGGACATACCGGCCTTACTACAACTCGACGATGCAAAGCAACAGACCACCCAACTTGGGAGGCTCAAGTTTATGTAATAAACGTAGAAGAGGGAAGCTAAGCGAAGACGAATTGTGACAAACCGAAGCGTCAACATCCTACTGAACTCCACTATCATGTATGATGGACTAGTTATGTACAATAACAAGTAGTTCCACACGACGTACGTTTCGCGGTATAGGTCATAACGGCTAATCAGGTTTGCAAAATTTAACTCGGATGGTGAGCCAATTGAATTATTGTGAAAAGAAGAAGGACAACGAACCTGAGCCTTCCAAGTTGGAAGGTTGTTGGTTTGCGCCTTGGAGAAGTGTTCTACGTCTTGCGCCTCTATGTCTTGCGCTTCTACGTCTTGCGCCTCTACGTCGTTCGGCCAAGACTCCAGCTGCTTCTGAGCGTCTCCGACCGATGTCGCCATGCACTGCACCGACGCAGTGGGCCTTGGATCTGATCCTCCCACTTGCTTCACATACTCCTCTGACCGCTGCTTGTCTCTAAGTAAAGTCTTCCACGCCTTGTCCGGCGTCCTTCCGAGCGAGGCAAGCACATCTCGCTTTGCTTCCTCATATATACTGACGGCGATGCGTTCGTTCATCTTCTTGAGCTTTTCATTAAACTCTGTGCGGAGCGCACCCTCTTGCCGTCTAGCACTGCGCTCTTCAAACTCCTCACACTGTCGGAGCATCTTCTCCACGTATTCCCTCAACCTATCTCCTTCAAATCCATACCGAATTCCGCTAGCGATAAAGCTGGCTTCAATGATCCATAGTTCCTGTGCCATGCTCGCATCGTATCCTGGCATGGTCACCAAATGTTGTGAACCCTTCAGATTCTCTAAAAGTCAGGAATTAATGACCACACGGCACGAGGACAACTATTCACTCTTGACAGTATATTTCACTTCGATCGACTAATAACAATGAATAACTTACACTAAAACCACCGGGTAGTTATAGCGTGAAAATGACAGCATATAATTATGAGAAAAGCATACACATACAACATACAACTACAGCGCATACAGCAAACCGCACATAGCGCATGTAGCGTATACCACGTCCTTAACATCAGCGGTACGGCGGAGTCGGAATACAACTGCATTGAAACGAACACAATGTCACAAGCGCGAAGGCCTTTCACTCTTGAGAACTTGTGGTTTCGCAACGGACATGTTCAGTCTGTTGGGTTTGCGAATTCAAATAAACACAACCTTAGCACAAACAGTTCTGCACCTACCAGGCGACCCAATTAGACTCAAACTGGAAACTGTACACAGCCCAGCGTAACCGAGTAACCGCTTTTTTGCGACAGGGTAAGTCCGATTTTTTCCAGCAAACAACGTCAACGGGTACAAACCTCCACCGTCTACTGAAGAAAGCGCCTAAGCAAACAATTCCCACACCATTGACAGCTAACTCCACTGCAGCCATGGCCATGGAGAAGGCAACAGCTCTCAACAATTTCTTTATCTCCCAAAGCCAACAGTCCATCGACAAGACCGCCTGTACTTTTTTTCTTTTTTTTTTTACTATAGCCACGTAAACCCGTCATGTGTGAGCCATGAATAAGGGGAGTTGTGGCGTGGTCAGGGATGCTCTGCCGACCTTGGGTCTCGGCTTCATCACAACCAGGCGCGCCAATAACAGAGAGAGAAACTTCTGGGAGAGGGAGAGAGAGAGAGACATAGACAGTTACTACACCAGACATCAACTCTACCCCTGACATCAGTCATACTCGAAATACAATTGCAGCAACAGTGGAAGAGGCCGAGAAGCTTCTAAGCAGTCTAGACACTGGCAAGAGCCCAGGCTTTGACAACATCCCAACT